TCCGAATAATTTATGTATATGGTGATTAGTAGAAGTCCTAACATGGATTCCTGTGGAGCACCACTTCCAACCCCCTGCCAGGCTGAGAAGATACCCTTAACTCCTACTATTTCCTTTCAGTTTCCGAACCTTTCTTTCATCCAATCTGTTACTTCTCTCACGATTCCACATGACCCTATTTTAGTTATGACTTATGAGCTTCTTATCAAAGATGTTCTGGAAATCCAGGTACACTACATCCACTGCATTTCCCTTGTCTATATTATTGGCTACATCTTCAACAAATTCAATAAAGTTGGTCAGGCTTGACCTTCCATGCTGGCTGCTCTTAATTATATTTTCCTTCTCCAGATAACTAGTTACTTCATATGTTATGACAGATTATAATATCTTGCACAGAACCAATATTAATAAAAAATAAGGGAAAATTAACAGATAATAGGCCATAGATGAATAAGGAGGCAAAGACAAAACTGTAGGTAAGGAAAAAATCATTTGAAAATTGATTGACTGGCCTGTGGTTTCCTGGATTAGCTCTATCATCCTTTTTAAAAATAGGCCATTGGCCATTTTCCAGTCTTCTGGTACAATTCCTTTGTCTACAGAGTTCTTAAATATGTATATATATATATATATATATATACTAGAGCCTCAGCTATCTCCTTCCTAGTTTTCCTACAGATTCTTGGGTCCAGCCCATCTGGGCCAGGTGCCCTGTCCTCTTTAAACTTGTATAATTTAATACCTTCCTTCTCTCTAACTCAACTATTGTAACTTTACACCCTTCCCCTTCTGTCCTTACTACATTTTCTTTTGAATTCCTTTGTAAAAACTGAGGCAAAGCATTTATTTAGTATTTCCGCTATTTTTTCTTATCTGTTGTGAGATTCCCCATTTAGTGGTCATATGTCTATTTTAACCATCCTTTTATTGCTAACATACTGTAGAACACTTTGCTGTTTCTTTTTATATTTTTTTGCTATGTTCTCCTCTTTTGCCTTCCTAATTGTCTTTTTCTAACTTCTTTCCTAAATTCACTGTATTCACTCCTATTCTCCTCTCCATATCTATTATATACTTTGCAAATGTTTTTTTCCTTAGCTGCAGTTTTGTTTTCACTTCCTTATTCATCCATGGCCCATTATTCATTAATTTTCCCTGATTTCGTAAAGAAATATATTTCTCCTGCACTTCTTTGACTCATGCTTAAAAATCTTCCATTGCTGCTCAATATCTTTATTTGTTAATTTTTCCCTTCAGTCTTCCTTGGCCAGTTCATTCCTTGTACCATTATAATTAATTTTTATCAATCAAGGATCTTGGTCCTTGCCTTGTCTATCTCCTTTTCTATAATCATTTTGAACTTTATTATATTATGGTCACTAACTCCCGAGGTGCTCCCCCACATTTAAACCTTGACCTGCTCATTGCCTATAACTAGGACAAGCAGCACTTCTCCTCTTGTTAGAGTTTCTACAAACTGGAACAGAAAAGAGTCCTGCACACATTGCAAAAACTGCACCCCCTACTCACCTCCTACTACCTCTCTCTGCAAAATGCTGGACAAAATGAGTCCAAAATTGAGGGATTCCGCTCAACTGCCACTGCCATCCCAACTTCCAACCCCTCCCTACCCCCACCTTACATAATTACCCGTCCGACAATTACCCATCCCTCCTTCCACACCTTTGAACCTGTCACCCCCTCCTCTGTCTTCAACACGGTAACCTCCATGCTCCCTCGAACCCATCCCCACCCCTCTCCTTAAATCCCAGCTCCACCTCCTTGCCCCACTACTCGTGGACATCATTAACCTCTCCATGTCATCTGGCACTGTTCCTACCCTCCTCAAAACAGCCACTATCACCCCCACCTTGAGAAAATCTTCCCTCGACCCATCACAGCTATCCAGCTACCGGCCCATCTCAAATCTCCCTTTCCTATCCAAGGCCCTTGAGAGAGCCATTGCCTCCCAGCTTCACTCTTTCCTCTCCTCCCACTCCCTCCATGAACCCATCCAATCGGGTTTCCGTGCTGCCCACAGCATGGAAACTGCTCTG